CCTTCCAGTCTAGGGGCCAGCCTGACACCCCTCCCTTCTCTGCCTTGATCTCCCTCTCGATGATCTTCCCCCTCCCTCCCTGGCGTTTTGAGTCCAGCACTCACTCTTCTGACTCCCCTTTATCCAAGGAAATCCAGAACCTTAAACACTTCCTTACCAAATATTCCCTATTCTCCCCTAGTCTGACTTCTACCTCAAATACCCCATTTATCCCTCCTGTATCTACTTCTTACTTCAATTCCAGACCCTTCCTCAGAGACCCCTCCCCCCACATCCTCTTATGGACAGGACACCCCTCCCACTTCAGACTCCTCCCAGGACTCCCCTTCTCCCTCTCCTCTGTCAAGCCATACTTGCTCCCACACTCAGCCTCCACTTCTTTCCCATGGTATCCTTCCCCTCCAGGAGGTGGCAGGCATGGACAGGGTAAAGTCAAAGTCCATGTACCTTTCTCTCTTGGAGATCTAGCTCAGCTTGAATGCAGAATAGGCTTTTTCTACTAATCCTACACACTTCATACAAGAATTTAAATATATTACTCACAGCTATGATCTAACCTGGCATGATCTCTTTATGATTCTCCAGTCCACCCTCACCCCAGATGAGAGACATAGGGTCTGGACAGCAGAACAGGAGTATACTAATGAGCTTCATTCTGCTAACCAAGCTCACCCTATTGGTACCAAGGCAGTTCCCCTTCAGGACCCCTGGGTGGAATTACCAACCCTCACTAGGAGATCAGGCAGGACCTTCCTTCCCCAGGTAGAGCAGCCAGGGACCACATGATCACTTGTCTCCTGACAGGTCTTCAGAGAGCTTCGCCCTCTAAGGTAGTTAACTTTGAGGAGCTTAGGTTGATTACTCAGGGCTCTACTGAAACCCCAGCTCAGTTTATGGACAGACTTACTGATGCACTGGTCCAGTATACCAAGTATGACCCAGAGTCTGCAGAGGGACGGCTTATGCTTCACCACCACTTTATCTTACAATCAGCTCCAGATATTAGAAGGAAATTTAGACACTTAGACAAGGGCCCTGAAACCCCCCCGGGAGATCTGTTGGACATGACATTTAAAGTCTTTTATAACCTGGAGGAACAGGAGAGGGCAGACAAGCTCACCCTGTCCAAACAAAAGTACCAGCTTATGGCTGCAGTCCTAAGGGCTCCTCCCAAGAACACTTTGAACACCAATGGGTCCCAATGACATCTGCCAGGACCCTGCTTCAAGTGCGGAGCAACCGGACACTGGGTAAGGCAATGCCCTAACCTGCAACCACCCCCTGGACCCTGTCTTTCTTGTGGGCAACAAGGTCACTGGAGAGTCAATTGTCCTTTGGAGCACCATGGAAGGCCACTCACCTCCCAGACCCAGCCTCCTTTACAGGGTTCAGTAAACGACCTTCAGGGCCTGGTGGCTGAAGACTGACAATGCCCTGCTTCTTGGCCCCCACCACTTCTATGATTATTAAAACGGAGGAGTCCAGGGTTTCAGCCATGGTGGCAGGTAAGATTATTCATTTTATTCTCAACACTGGTGCATCATGGTCTGTACTCCCTTCCTACTCTGGTAAAGTTTTTCCCTCATAGATCTCCATGGTGGGGGTTGATGGGAAGCCTCACAACCCCAAATTGACAGGACCCTTAGCCTGTGTATTCTGGAAGGTGCCTTTAACTCATGCCTTCCTGATTATGCCAACCTGCCCAACCCCCCTACTTGGCAGAGATCTCATCTCTCCCCTTCTCCACAATCTTCCTCCTTTCCCCTATACCTCCCCCTCCCCAAGCCAGATCATGGCCCCTTCCCCCTTCCAAAGTAAATCCCAAGGTCTGGGACACCTCAGCCCTGGGACTGGCCTCTTATCACACTCCTAGCCACATTTCCTTGAAGGATCCCTCCCTATTTCCCAGCAGATTCCAATACCCAATTGCACTCAAACACCACTATGGACTTAAGCCCATAATTCAAAGGCTTATGAGAGCTAACCTCCTTAAACTCACTCACTCACCATTTAACATTCCCACTCTTCCGGTCCTCAAGCCTGATGGCTCTTACCGTCTGGTCCAGGATCTCTGGCTTATTAATTCAGCAGTTATTCCCATTCACCCAGTTGTTCCCAAGCCCTATACTCTCCTTTCTCATATCCCCTTTTCCACCACCCACTTTCCTGTCTTAGACCTTAAAGATGTTTTTCTCAATACCTTACACCCTGACTCTTACAACCTCTTTGCATTCACCTGGGAGGACCCTGACACTGGGATGGCTTCCAAACTAACCTGGACTGTCCTGACCCAGGGATTTCGAGATAGCTCTCACCTTTTTGGACACGCTCTAGCCCAGGATTTAACTTCCCTAGACCTTAACCCCTCTACCATCCTACAATATGTAGATGACCTACTTCTTTGCTCCTCATCTCTCTCAGTCTCCAAGGCTCACACAAACTCCTTAATTTTCTTGGGGACAACAGATATAGGGTATCTATAGCTAAGGCACAGCTTTCTCTCCCTCAAGTCAAGTATTTGGAGTTCCTTCTCACACCTACATCCTGCTGTTTAACTATAGATAGAACAAATTACCTAAGGTCTTTAAAGCCTCCCACAACCAAGGAGGAATTTCTATCTTTCCCAGGCCTTGCAGGGTACCTGCACACCTGGATTCCTAATTTTGCCCTCTTGGCAAAGCTGCTCTATGAAGCCTCTAAAGGAAGCTCCTCTGAGCCCCCTGACTCCTTAGGGCCTGTTACAGCCACATTCCACACTATCCAGGAAGCACTCTTAAAGGCACTGGCTCTGGCTCTCCCTAACCTGGAATGTCCATTTCTTCTCTACATGACTGAAAATAAGAGCCAGGCATTAGGGGTTTTGGGATAGATGAGGGGTCCCACTTTTGTCCCAGTAGCTTATCTCTCTAAACAGCTGGATACCACCATCCGGAGGTGGCAACCTTGTCTCCAGGCTCTGGCTGCTGCAGTGCTCCTGGCTCAGGAGGGACTGAAGCTTACTTTGGGTCAGCCCATCTCCGTTCTTTCCCCCCATTGGCTTAAGGATTTACTAACCCATGCCTCTCTTGCCAATCTAGCTCCCTCTAAACTACAACTCTTTCATGTTACGTTTCTTGAAAATCTCTTGCTTTCCCTTGATTCCTGCCCTCCTCTCAATCCAGTTTCCCTCCTTCCTTCCAGTGAACCACTCACTCACTTGTGCCTGGAAACTCTTCAGGAACTCTCCTACCAGGATCCCCTAATCCCCCCAGATCCCCTACCAAATCCAACCCTGACTTGGTTTGTGGATGGGAGTTCAACTCTTACCCCGACTGGGTCTCGCAGGGCAGGGTATGCCATAGTGTCTCTCACTGATGTCATCGAGTCAGGACCCCTGCCACTTGGAACAACGTCACAAAAAGCTGAACTTGTGGCACTCACCAGGGCTCTGCTTTTAGCCAAGGGACAGGCAGTTAATATTTTACAGATTCCAAGTATGCCTCCCTCAGCTTCTCTTTCGAGTGCGTTCTCACTTTATCACTTAATCTCCTGAGGAATTTCTCTAGTGCTAATGTGTCCACTTGCTTCCTCTGTGCCCCTCTACAGGGCTCACTTCTCATCCCCCTCCCAGTTTAAAATGTTACTCACCAGGCTACTACTCAATGTTCTCAGGAACTCCTAATACAAGGACCTCTGCCTGCCCTTCCCCTTTTTCTTGACAAAACAGTGTTGGACTCCACGAACCTCTGAATGTCCACACTCATCAAGTGAAATGTCACAATTAAGGAAGATACTGCTCTAACCTCGGGACTGCTCTTTCTCTGTTCTTCCAAAATATAGTCCTGCATCTCTCCACAGATTGAGGACACCTGCGCTCCAGTCATTCTCATTCCCAAACCAACCCTATACACACCAGGAGAGGTGTATGATGTCTTATCCACAGGGAAAGAAGGGACCAGGACAAGGAGGTCAGCCACCTTGGCAGTCCTGGTAGGAGTTAGCCTGGTGGCATCAGTGGCAGCCACTGGACTCATGGCTGGAGGTTTGGGACACACGCTGATCTCAACCCAGCATCTTTCCCAGGAAATAGAGGACCTCAGACAGGAACTCACCTCAACAGTGGAAACTACAGCCTAGTCAATCCAGTTCCTACAACAACAATTATCCTCCTTAGCTGAAGTTGCTCTCCACAACAGGCAAGCCCTGGATCTATTAACTGCAGAAAAAGGGGGAACCTGTATTTTTCTGGGTGAAGAATGCTGTTATTTTATCAACCAATCCGGTAAGGTCAAACATGATATAGAACAACTCAAACAGGTAGCAAAAAATCTTTCACTTAAAAATTCCCAGTACCAACAGTCATCTTGAATGGGACATTTTTACAGGATTAACTCCTTGGCTTCTGCCCTTACTGGGCCCCCTGCTTTCTATCACTTTGGTGCTAACCATTGCTCCTTGCCTCTTCAGGTATTTTCAGGACCAAATCCGAAAACTAACGCATACTAATTTTAATCAGTTGTTACTTTCTTTCCCTCCACATGTATATGAATGCCTGTCAACCACCGAGGACCCTGTTCAGATGAGATGCACGGAGAGAGAACCCCTACTGTCTAGTGGACCCCTAATCCAGCCTACCCCCCACATCAACCTTGTCCAGCAGGAAGTAGCAAGACGACGATGATGCCCCCATCCTATAACACAAAAGACTGGAATATTAGGGTTTCAAATCACAGCAGCCTCCCCCCTCTCCAACAGGGTTCCATGGACTTCGGATTTCTCAAGCCCCTGAGAAAAGGGAACCTAGCCGATAAGTACCCTGGTCTTTGAAGTCAAGGGAAGCAGACTCTTCTAAAAGGCAGCCTGCCTTTCCTTTGATCTGAAGACAAGATAAACAGATTCCACCTTTTAACCAGAGACTTCAGGACCCGCTTTAGTACAGCAGCTTTTCCCTTATCTTAAGAGGACAAAAAATAAACACTTCCTGACCCAGATGGAACAGAGCCAGGTTTACAAGCCCCACTTTTCCTGCTTTCCCCTGCCTAATTTTTCCCAAAAAACTTCCCACCTTCTGCACCCCGAAGCCTGCCTATAAAGACCCAGCTCACAATACATGGGCCGACATTTTCCCTTCCCCAAAGGGAATGTGTCCCTGCTGAGAGTTTTATCTGTGTCTTGGTGCTTTTTCCCTGATCAACTCTATCCGTTCTTGGCTACTTTTTACCTGTCACTAGTCAGCCAGTAATTATGTTTAACATTAAACAGACAACTTGTGTCCTGCAGTACCATGACTTGAGACTTGTTTTTCTCTGATTTATGACTAAGGCAGTGCTCCACCAAGCCCAACATTCTTGTTTTCAAGAGATGTCCAGACTTTGTCCCTGACTGTTCTTAACCTCTTCCTTGCTGTTCTCCTTCACTGAAGATGTGTCAAACAAATTAAGGGCAGACGGATTTGACTCAACAGTTTCAGAAGGTTCAGTTTATGGTTACTCTGTCCCATGTGATTGAACAGAACTTTGTGGTTGGTGGAAGCATGTGGAGGAGGAGAATGTTCACTTCATGATGGACAAGAGGTGGAGAGAAGGGAATATGGGCATGGTATAGGGCAAGATACTACCCCCCAAGGATATGCCCCCAGTGACTTTCACTATGTTCCACCTTTTGATTTCCCCCATTTTCCAGTAGTTCCATCATCTGAATAATACATCAAAGGATTAATCCAGGGCTGGAGAGATGGCTCAGTAGTTAGGAGCACTGACTGCTCTTGTAGAGGACCCAGCACCCACATGGCAGCTAACAACCATCTGAAACTCGTTCCAGGAGATCCAACATCCTCTTCTGACCTCCATAGGCATGGCACATGAGTGCACTTACATACATGGAGGTAATATACACATAAAATGATTTTTAAAAAATGATTAATCCATTCATTAGATCAGAGCCTTCATGCTCTAATCATCTCTGAAAACACCCTCATGGACAAAAAAGGCATATTTATGAATGACATTGAGATTAACTGCGTTGTTTCTCCTGTTTGCTTCCATGGTACCTTGGAAAACTCAACCACGTCCTGATCTGTTTTTGTAAACTGGCTACATTCCCTGTACAGATTGCAGAAGATGGGCAGTAAAGACAAGAGCTCCTTTATCCAGAACTAGCAAAGGCAAAAGCAAAACTATAGGACTTTTGTAAACAGATAACATTGGAACAGAGCAGGAAGGATGTAGTGGAGGGAAGGGCATTCAGAGAACTAGGCTGACTGCCCCAAGGGAACTGTAAATGAAAGACTGGAAAGTAAGAAAGAGCTTCGAATATTCACAACAGCTTGGCTGGAGAGCAGTGAGTAAAAGATGGAGAAAAGTCATCACAGGATCAGGAAACAACATCCAGTGATGCTCCTGATGTATTGTTGAGCAACACACCACATGTAAGCCATCTCTGATACTCACTCTGAATGAATGCTGTATATTTCCCCCTTTAAGCCTGACTGCCCTTAACCTCTTCTTTGCTGTTCTCCTTCAAGCAGGTGCTCTTAACTGCTCAACCATCTCTTCAGTCCTGGATTAATTTTCCATAAAAAGGTTTCACATGGATGACAATTATGTTTCCCTTCAGTATAAATTTTCAGACACTAAAATTATTTCTCTGGTCAAAAGATTTTCCTTAACAGCTGTACTGAAAAGGATTTCACTAGTAGATGTACATTCAAGTGGACGTGGGTGAATTCACTGCAAAAGACCTTTCCATATCTTTTACACTCTGGTATGGATCTTTCGATACTTAATGAAGAATTATGGCTGAAAGTCTTTCCACATTCACTGCACGCAAAGGGTTTCTCTGTGTGAGTTCTCGTGCCTTATTAAGGTAAAGATGTCACAAAAGGCCTCCTCACATACTTTGCATTTAAAGGGTGTTTCTTTAGTATGGGTTCTTTTATGCTTGACAAAAGTTGAAGAGTGTGCAAAGGCCTTTTCACATTCTTTGCAAACATAAGGCTTCTCTCCAGTGTGAATCCTCACGTGCCCAGTGAAGGAAGAGCTTTTGCACACTCTTTACATTTCAAAGGTTTTACTCCACTGTGGGCAGAGCAGTGGAGCTGCTCTTTACACAGAGCAGCGTGTAAAGGCCTTTCCACATTCATTGCACTCATAGGGCTTCTCACCAGTGTGAAGCCTTATGTGTTGAACTAAGTAAGAGTTGCTGGAAAAGGCCCTTCCACATTCTTTGCACTCAAAGGGTTTTTCTCCAGTATGGGTCCCCTTATGCCTAATAAATGTTGAGCAGTGAGCAAAGGCCTTTCCACACTCACTGCACTCATATGGCTTCTCTCCAGTGTGGACCCTCATGTGCAGAGTGACGGATGAATTAATACAAAAAGCTTTTCCATATATTTTGCAGACAAAGGGCTTCTTTTCTCCTGTGTGAATCATATGGTAGAGAAAGGTGGAGTGGTGAGTGAAAGCTTTACCACAGACTTTGCACTCATATGGCTTCTCTCCAGTATGGGTTCTTTTATGCTTGACCAAAGTGGAAGAATAGGTAAAGGCCTTCCCACAGTCACTGCACTCATATGGCTTCCTTCCCATATGAATCTTCATGTGTCGAGCAAATGAAGAGCTGTAGTAAAAAGCTTTCCCACAGTCTTTGCAAAGAAAAGGCTTTTCTGTAGAGTGGGTCATCTTGTGCTGCATGAAAGTAGAGCAACGGGAGACTTTTCCACAGGCTTTGCATTCGTAGGGCTTATCTCCCGTGTGTATACCCTGGTGCTCAGTAAGGTGAGACCTACATTTGAAGGCCTTCCCACACTCAATGCACTTACATAGTTTCTCCCCAGTATGAACCATCATATGCTGAACAAAATCAGCCAGATAATGACAGTTTTTCCCATACTCATTGCATTCACCGGGCTTCACTACAGCATGAATCTGTTGATGCCATACTAAAGCGCAATTATTCCTAAATACTTTCCCACATTCTTTGCATTGATCAGTGTTGCTCTCTGCTTCAACCACAGGATCTTTTCCGAGCCCTCCAGCATCAAGTTCATGGACATCATCTTGCAGAGTGACTTGCTCCTGTAAGACTCTTAAACACAGACTGCCACCTGTCTTCAAACCATCAGTTTTTGGGCTTAACTTTCCAAGCCATGTTTCCTTGGAAGTATCTGTTGTTGTCCTTGTGTTCCCTTCCAGTATTTCTGACCAGCTTTCTTCATCTTTGGCCTGGCTTAACCTGGAGTCTCCTGTAGATCTCTGTGCCAGCTGTTCTTGGAAAGAGAAAGTCAGCTGAGAAGTAGTGGGTTCTGAAGCATCACTGGATTTTGCTTTTTCACCTGAAAAAAAAAACCCAACATGAACAGATGTCTATTAATGGTGTAAACAGAACAACAACAACAAAATCACCACTGTAGCAGAAGAACAAACATGATTAAATACATGATAAAGTATTTTCTTATGTCTCAAAACCACATTTTAAAAGTTCTTTCTTATTTGCTAACATCTGGGCTCCTGGTATCTTTCATTGAAATCTAGATGTAAAAGCTGGGCAGGGGAGAGAGAACCATGAGTGGAAAGGTTTCTCCACACTCCAGAATGGAGGAGGTAGGCAGAGCAATGGGTACAATGTATGTAGTCAATGTGGTATGAGCCTATTTCTAATGAAAAAGAGTTACCACAGGGAAGAATAGAGGGAGAAGATCACGTACAAGGTTTGGAGGCTTGGCAGAATGCTGAATACCAAGCAAAGTGAAAAAGGGGAGAACTGTGGAGAGAGGAGGGCAGGAAGGGATGGAGGACACAGAATTCTGGCATGTGCAAAAGTTTAGGGGAGTGAAAAGCAAATGCATGGACATACTGAGCCTGCTATACCTGAGTAAGGACTAGGTAAACAGAACAGACACATAATAGACAGCATGTAGATGAAATCCATTACATAACATGTAGATAAATCTTGGCATTTGAAACAATAGTAAGCATCTAAATGAAGAGGTTATTAATACACTCTTTTTTTTTTTTTGTCTTTTTGAGACAGGGTCTCCCTATAGCCCCAGCTGTCCTGGAACTCACTATGTAGACCAGGCTGGCCTTGAACTCACAAAGATCCACCTGCCTTTGCCTCCCAACTGCTAGGACTAAAGGCGTGTGCCACCACACCCAGCTTATTAATACACTCTTAATTGTCCCCAAATTCATCTATAAATTCAATATAATCTCATCTCATCCCATCAGAATAGCTATCACTTGGGCTGGGTGTGGTGGTACACACCTTTAATCCCAGCACTTAGGAGGCAGAGGCAGGCGGATCTCTGTGAGATAGAGGCCAGCCTGGTCTACATAGTGTAGCTTGCTCCAAGCCAGCTAGGGCTACAAGGAAAAAAGAATAACTACCACCATGAACACAACAATAGCAAATGCTGGTGAGGATGTGGTCAACACAATTTGGTAGACATGTAAATTAATTTAGCCACTATGGAAATCATGGACATTTCTCAAAAACCTAAAAATAAGTAACATATGATCTAGCTATACCAGTCCTGAGTATAATGCAAAGAAATCTTGGCATAGAACAAAGGCACTTGTACGCCCATGTTTGTAGCACTACTTACAACAGCTACGTTAGGGAATCAGCCCACGTGTCCATTATCAGGTGAATGAGTAAAGAAGCTGATGTAGATATATAACAGAATTTTACTCAGGTGTAAGGGTCAAAAGATGTCATTTGTAGGAAATGGGTGAAAGTGGAAGTGATATTAAGCAAAATAAGCCAACCTAGAACAACAAATATTGCATGCTTTCTTTCATATGTGAAATCTCTGTTTTAAAAAAGAAGAAATAAAAGTAGAAGCAGATAAGACAAGGCTGCTGGATAAGGTGGCAGATCAGAAGCCCCCCTTATTGTGATGTGGGGAAAAATATAGTCAGGATAATAAAGGAAAATTTAAAAAATGAAATAAATATGCTAGCTGAGATCTCTGCAAAGCAGCAGGTAGGAGCAGCCACAAACTCGGTGCCTAGCTGTACTGTGCAGTTTGGGCTGATAAGCAGTCATTGAGAACTTCTAGACAAAGGGACTGGGTTGTGGTATGTGACCAGCGAGTGGATACACTGTAGGCAGACATAGGATCAGTGCAGACTGTAGAGACACAGGATGAAGTGTGACATGCCAGCCTGACGCTAACATTCTCTGAGCAACGTTGCCTGGCCCATCAGCAACCCAGGAACTGAACTGAACAGTATTCGTGTCAGAACCACCTGATTACCGGAGTGGCCTGATGTAAATCTACATGAACACTGCAGAACTGACGCTAACAGGAACAGCCTGAGCCCTGGAAAACCAAACACTTCCAAGCAGAAAAGGTAAACAGTAGTGTGGACAGGGTCACATCAGTATTCTGGACTCAGAAACTCAAGCCAAGGAAGTGAAACTATCCAACACATGTAGAACAATAATGGACAGAAAGTTCTCCCAAAGCAACATTTCATGTCGGGGTGGGGAAAACAAACCAGTGGAAGGGGTCACAGATACTGGCCACTGAGCAGAAACTCAATCTAAAAGGTAATAGACAACTTGTTTGAACTTCACTGGAACACTACACATCCATAAATCTGGTTTCACAGGTTCCAGCTGTGGCTACAAATTACACCTCTCCTGTAAACACAATCTGATACATGTAGCATCACAGGGGGGAGAGACATTCAAAACCCACTCCACCAAAGAAGAAAATTCTGACTGATGATGATAATGTTCAAGAGAATGAGTGCAAGTGTATGTGTGTGTATGTTTCTATTTTACTTAAAAAAAAATGTGTGTAAACGTGGGTGCACATGTCAGAAGTTCACTTTCCAGGATCAGTTCTCTGTTTCCCAAGTGCTGGGATTAAAAGTGTGCACCATCACACCTGTTTCACTTTGCCTTTTATTTTTTATTTATTTTTTTGGTCTTTTTGAGGCAGGGTCTCCCTGTAGCCACAGCTGGCCTGGAACTCCCTATGTAGACCAGGCTGGCCTTGAACTCGCAGAGATCTGCTTGCCTCTGCCTTTTTGAGTGCTGGGACTAAAGGTGTGGGCCAGCCTCACTTTGCCTTTTGAAAAGAAAATCCTCTCTTGCATAAATATTTAAATGGTCTTGCTTCCGATTTTCTATGGAATAATTAGGCTTTATGATTATTTCTGTATGTTTCTGCACCCCCACTCTATTACGTACTTCTTCCTATACCACCGATGGAGTTTCCCTTCTCATGCTCATGTCCCCCTCTCTCTTCCCCATCCTTTTCTCTTTATCTTAGTAAATGGAATAACAAAATGAACAGTTCTCAAAAGATGAAGTATAAACAATCAGTAAGCATACAAAAAATATTCAATATCACTAGCCATCACAAAAATGCAAGTTAGAACTACCCTGAAGATAGGGCTGTACCTCAGCTGGTAGAGTGCTTGCCCAGAATACATGAAGCCCTGGGTTCTATCCCAAGCACCAAATAATCTAGGCATGGTGACGCACACATTTAGTCTAGCCACTATTCAACCAGTGTGGAGGTTCCTCAAAAAACTACACCTACAGCTGGGCGTGGTGGCGCACGCCTTTAATCCCAGCACTTGGGAGGCAGAGGCAGGCGGATCTCTGTGAGTTCGAGGCCAGCCTGGTCTACATAGTGAGTTCCAAGACAGCTGGGACTACAGGGAGACCCTGTCTGAAAAAGACACAAAAAACCAAAACAAACCAAAACAAAAAATCTAAAAACTAACCCTAAAAAATGATCACCCAAAGTACACTAAGTCAACATATCTCAGAAATACTTGCATTTCCATGTTTATTGCGGTACTATTCATAATAGTGATGGTATGGAGTCAACATAGGCATCCAGCGACAGAGGAAACAGTAAAGAAAGTGTGAGAGAGAGTGTGTGTGTGTGTGCATAAAACAAATTTTATTCAGCCATAAAGAATGAAATTATGTCAATTGCAGTAAAACGGTTGCAACTGGAGATTATCATACAGAGCAAAGTCGCACTTGGAAAGCCAAAACTGTATTTTCTCATTTATCGCTCCTATATTTTATAGATATATAGTCATGTGTATTTGTATATATGAGATGAAAGTAAATGCAAAACCGGGGACTGGAGAGATGGCTCAGCAGCTAAGAGCACTGACTGTTCTTGCAGAGGACCTGGGTTCGATTCCCAGAACCACGATCTCCCATAAAATGGACATTTTCTTTCCAGTCAGGGACCAAAGGATCCCTAATAATTCCTTAGTTTTGCATTTCTGATTTAAGAAACTGACCTGTGGGCTGGAGAGATGGCTCAGTGGTTAAGAGCAACAGCTGCTCTTGCAGAAGACACAGCTTTGATTCCTAGCACCCACATGGCTGCTAACAACCATCTGTAACTCCAGTTCCAGGAGAATCCGACACTGCCTTTTGATTCTGTGGGCACTGCCTGACACAGGTGCACTCACATACATGCAGGCAATAGACTCATACACATAAAATAAAAATAATAAATAAAATATAAAAAAAAGAAAGTAAATGCAAAACCATCTAGAGGAATGAAGATGTGTAAAGTCAAGGGAAAAGGGAGAGAAAGGGGAACATGGGGGAGAACAGGGCCAAAGTACATATATACTACATGGAAGTGCCCTTATTAAACTCAGTATAACGTACAATGTACAATGAACATATGCCAAAAAAAATGTAGAAGGGCTAGTTTGGAGGAAAGAAGGGTTACAGCACAGACATGGTAATGGGCCAAGCAGAGACTTAAGATCAAAGAGTACAATACAATGTAAAATTAGATGCATGAAATGTCATGACAGTACATACTAGGCTTCTGATTACACGCCTTCAAAACTAAAGTATGGAACTAAGTGTGGTGCTACACAAGTCAAAAAGTAGGTACACAGAAAAACTGGGTTGGCTTCTAGCAAGTTATTTAGAGATAAACCCTCTCACCTACCAAATAAGTACATGATATTCTGAGTAAGGACAGAGAGTTCAGAGTGCTCCATGACCCAAACAAGACCCCAGAGGACGTTACATAGGACTGTCCTCCAAAAGACAGGCCATGGACAGATGCCAAATTCCCAAGCTTGGTTGTGCCCACTTGCCTGGTATCACAGCTAAGCTGTTGACTTGAAAGTCAACAAGTCAATGTTCCATAAAGAAGGAGGGGCAGGGAAAGTCATGGGACCCTCTCAACCAACCAGTTGGCCCAAGTTGCATGAGAGAGAAGAGCTAAGGGTATATAAGCTGAGGAAGCCTAGGGGAGGCTCTCTCCCCATTTTGTGTGGCTGTGGAGAAGCCACCACCTATGGTTGAACGAAGACTTTCCAGTGTGGCCTTAGGAGGAGGCACCCACATTCCTGTAAGTAAAGCCCCTCCCACTGCTCTGTAAGTAAACCCAATAAAATCACTGGTTTCCTACACTGTAGTTTGGCAAAATCATACCGCAGTTTGTTGTTGGGACCATGGGAGGAGGGGGCAGACACTGTTATGTTTTTCAGAAGCTATTTTAGCTACATCACAAAACAAAGCTGGCATGGAATCAGCATAGTTACCGCAGGTACAGTACAGATACTCCTTGGTTCCCCAGCTCTAGACTCTAATTTACCCACCTGCATAGAAGCCACTCTTCACAGTCCACACTCCCTGCCCATGTTCCAGGAGACAGAACAGCTCTGGTTTGGGAACACGATGCCCTGGCATGAAAAAGAAATGGAATGGGGTTATAAATAAGGATGGAAGGAAAAGCCTCAAGTTTAGAGGAGTGCATTTCTTTACCACACTGCCAGGAAAACATAGAAAGGAAACATCACCCCTGCCTCAGAAGTTATTATCTATTAATCTTAGGTGGCAGGACTCCACGTCCCTGGCAAGAATTTCTAGCGATGTCTGGTTCCAAAACCGGAAGAAATGATATTTCTGGCCATAAGGAGTAGGCATTGGCACGTGGCACAGCTCTCATGCAATTGTGATGTTCAGGAATGACTGAGAAACGTGGAACTGATCAACCAATAATCAGCATCTACCAACAGTTATCTGAGGCAGCTACCCATTCTGAAGAAAAAGCCTTTATTTCAGGTGGGGCCTCCTGCTCTGGCTATAGTCCCACATCATCCTGCACTCCTAGAGGTGCTGGCCTGAGGACCTAGACCGGGAAGGAAGCAGAAAGGAAAACTGGGTTGGCTTCTATCAACCTGGGAGCCAGCACCACCTCTGGTGTCTCAGTAGGTAAAATAACATACTGGGTCAATCAGTATGAGACAGACACCTCTTACTTTCAGCCAAACACATTTTGAAAATGTGATGGCTGAAGAAAGCTGGTGAGAAGTCACTGGTGAAGCCAATCAAACCTGTAGAAAAAGGAACGGGACATTCAGAGCAGCAGAATGCAGCCAGCAGTCACTGAGCAAAGGCTCCCTGGCATCTGCCACATGACTGCCAATAAGCTCAGTGATGGGTTCATGGGAAAGGGCCATCAAACCTGCCTCACTGAGCTCCCTGTCCTCAGGGACTCTGATTTGTGCTCACCCACCTGGAATGGTCTCCCTTGGACGTGTCTTTTCAATAACTAATCATGAAACAACACTGTGTTTACTCTACTGGTGATTGACCTGAAAGAGATCAGGACACAAGGCTGATAGAGCCCTAAACCATCTGAACATCTGCAGAGCAAGACACCCTGTGTCTCTAATCAAGTCCTACTTAGGCCAATTGCTGGGTAAAGTGGCCTTTAAAGGTTTAGGTGGAAGGTACTTGGGATTTGTTTGTTATGCACAATTACTGTGTAGCACGTGTTATGGTCCCAGTTCTGTTCGAAGCACATTATAGATATTAGTTCACTTGCTCCATAGGCATTACTAAGGAGTTCCATCTGTAACTCCAGTTTCAGGGAATCTGATGTCCTCTTCTCATCTTCCTGGGCATTGCAAGGCATGTGTGCACTTACATACATGCAGGCAACATACTCATACACATAAAATAAAAATAACCAATAAAAGTTTTAAAAGTATTAAAAATGTAATAATGGCACAAAATCCCAGCAAGCTCATGATCCCTGCTCAAGGCTAGGACTTGGAGGTGATTTCTTTTCACAGGAGATCAGCCAACAATCTTCAGTGTGGAGGACTCAGCACTAAGCCAGGACTTTGCTAAGACCTTAGGCTATGTGGGTCAACATGAAGGTGGCTGGAACTGAAGAAGTCACTTAGCTGAGGCTACACTGCTTACACTGGTAGTACTGGGGACAAACACCTGATCACTGTCTGGATAACACTCTTCTCCCATTAAAAAACTTTCCTGAGGTGGAGTAAGGTGCGGAGGATCTCCCTTTCTGCCTAGCTGGCCTTGAACTTTTGTTCCTCCTGCCTCAGCCTCCCCAGTGCCTGGATTACAGGTTGAATCATCCTCTTGGAGAACCTCCCACACTGGCGGGTTCTGCTAGCTGGGCTGTGAAGGCATTTGACTCAACCATGCTGAGTCAATTATCTTCTCTTACGGGGATCTGGAATAGCAGTGTCTGACAGTCCCTGAGGGAGATACCAGAAAACCAAGCAAGAGGATGTCAGATCACAGTAAGCTGAGGCTGCAGTGAGCAGGGAGGGTGGCACCAACCAGCATGCCTACAGAAGGTGGAATGAAGGCAGCTTTAAGCTCTGCACCTGGGAGAGAAATGAGGCCTTACCCAGTGAGGCCAGAAGTCCACAGGTCTCCATCATCACTTCCTGGTAGAGGGTCCTCTGAGCAAGGTCCGGATACCCCCATTCCTCCACAGTGAAGGTCACAGCCACATCTTCAAATGATACCAAGGCCTGGAACATTAATCACAGGTGTTTGGGTGGCTACATAGATCACACGTAAGATTAGAGTCTACTGCTTGGTTACTGACAAGAATCCAGAGACAAGGGCTGAGCCACTGATCATCTCCTGAGAACCTAGCCTGGTGGAAGACTCAAGATGAAGGCAGGTAGTACTTCTGACAGAATACAAAGAGATGTTTGAGACAAAAGCCTCCTCTATGGGAGGCCATGGAGAATGTCACAAAACAGATGTGGACCGTGAGGGACAGTCAGTAAATGACCTGTGATGTTAAAGAGCAGGGCTTAGGGTTAGGAATGAGGACACTGTAATTCAAACAACGATCACAGCCACAGCAGTTAAGCGTCTTCGGTCTGCACTGCTTGATGACCAGAGCCCTTCATATGCTCTGATCAACCATCCATAACGCCAGTTCTGGAGAACAGGACACCCCGTGTTTCCAGTCACACCGGGTAGATGGCTCAGTGTGTAAAGTGCTTGCATGCAAGAGTGAGAACAGGAGGCCAGATTCTCAGCACCCTTAAATGCCAGGTGGCACAGGCTATCCACAGCAAACTGGAGAGTTAGACTAGCCAAAATGGTAAGCCTTAGATTCATCTGAGACTGAGGTGCAAAGCGATCAAGGAAAACTCCAGATACCTGCCTTGGGCCTCCCACTCACATGTATGCACCCACACATGAACACTCACACACATACACACCACAGAAACATGCAACAAATTAAAAATGATCTTAAAAGTAACGAGTCTTCTCGTCCCCTGAGATTTATTCTTCAAAATTTTTGTGTGTTAAGTGCATGTGTGCCTGCTTAATATGTGCACCATATGCATGCAGGTACCTATGGAGGCCACAAGACAGTGTTGGAACTCCTGGAGCTGGTAACAACTGTGAGCCTCCTGATGCAGGTGCTAGGAATCCAGGTCCCCTGCAAGATCAGTAAGTGCTCTTAACCACTAACCCATTTCTCTAGGTCCCTCTCCTAGGTGCAGTTTGGCCTCTTTACCAGTGTGAGTGCCAGATGTGTGACCTTAGGGAAAGAAGTCTCCTACTTTCTTTGCACCTTGATTTCTACAGCAACGCAGCAATAGCTCTACTTCTGTAAACTGCAGTGTGAATTAAATGTTCACGAAGCAATACCCACAGTTCCTGTCACATGCCACAGAGATGGAGTCACATGTTTCCAATTTTCACAAATCATCCCACAGCCTATGAGGTAAACTTTATCATCACCCCCATTTCATAATCAGCAGCTAAGCCTCAGAATCAAGTCACAGGCTCTGACCAGAGGCAGGATTTGAACCCAGGTCCCTCTAGTTCAGGGTCTGTGGATATAACCCTTTCCTATGTCAGTACAGGAACTCCACAGTGACAAGTGCAAGGAACATTTCCAGTAATGTTTATATTTAGAAGCACTTCAGCCCTCCTGTGGGAATGACTTTTCTGGCAATGCCTTCTGTCACAAATGGGAATCTTACTAATCTTTTAACCAACTTAATCTTATGTTTTGAGATCATTTAACACCATCTCACCTTGTTTACAATGTAAATAATCTTACAGGCCTTGGGCTCCTCTTGTGCACTAAACACATATCTTTACTCATGATCCTGCCTTGCACCTAGCTCAGAAGAAAGTGTGTGTTGTGGAAATACCACAGCTGAACACAACAAATGATCCCCAATTTGTGTTGTAAACAGGTAGACTCAGATCGATAACATCTATGTAAGGTTTTCTGTGTTGTTCCATGTCAGTAGGGGTCAGAAACGGAAAATTCTTCTCTAAAATAACAGCGTTCCAACCGGGCATGGTGGTGCACTCCTTTAATCCCACCACTTGGGAGGCAGAGGCAGGAGGATTTCTGTGAGTTCAAGGCCAGCCTGGTCTACACAGTGAGTTCCAGGACAGCTGGGGCTACAGGGAGACCCGTCTCAAAAAAGACCAAAAAAAAAAAAAAAAACCACATACAAAAAACCCAGCATTCCTCATTTCTTTCCCATGCCACGCTGGATACAGTGCTTAAATAGGAGAGTTCATCCTTGGAAGAACAGTTCTGCTTGAGAGCTCAAAGGGAACAAGTTCTGAGGGCAGATCACACTCTTGGTTTTAAACAACTCCAGGGGTCAAGTGTACAGGCACTGCCATATTGTGGCATCTCCAGCACAATCATGAAAACATTTCCTCAGATGAGGAAGAGTGGAGCCTTCATCACGCTCCTCACAGAAGAGGCACTTGGAGAGGTGCCCTCTGCCCTAAGCTGCAGCTAGAATTCTCAGGCTTCCTGGAGAGACCACAAACATCATCCAGCAGATTCTCTCAATGAGCCACTCTTAGCATATTTCCCTAAGGTATTGTTACTTAAGTATCTGGCAACTAAGTGACCCAGGGCAATACCCACCATGGTTCTAAGAACACGGCTGGTAGCATGATGTCTTAGGTAAGGAGGGGGCTGCGTGAGGATTTGTTAGCCACACAATCTCACCTCCTGAAGTATACTTGTGCAGGTTCTGAGAGCCCTTGACCCTCAAGGTTCTCTCCTGCCTCCCTACATAAAGCCTGTCTTTGTGTACGAGGCTCCCTTAGCCTGGAAGGATCCCTGAAGTCCCTCTCACCATCATACCTTCCCCTTGCAAAGCGTACTTGGGTGTCACCATAGACTGCCCTGTGTGGGTAGGATATGGTTGAGGACTTTTCCTTGTACTCCTGTAGCATCCTAGGAAGAAGCAAAGAAGCACATGTCCAAGGGGTAGCTGGTAAGCACAGGGGGTGACAAAGTGTGCAACAAGCTTGGCCAGTTCAGGCCAGCGAGGCTTGAGTGCAGAGCAGGGAGTGAGCTGAATGGAATAGTGGCCTGGAGGATGGCTAATGTAACTTTCACCCACTTACCACTAACTGAGTAAGGCCCCACCCTGTGCAATAACCTCACATTCCAGAGTTGGGGATGGATCCTCAATAATATATAAGCAGAGGGCTTGGGGGTGTAACACAGTGGTAGAGCACTTGTCTAGCAAGTGCGGGACCCAGGGTATGATCCACAGCACTGGAAAACGAGTTTGGGTAAGAATATACAAGCAAAATTAAGTCAGAGGAGTCTAAGGTTCTGAAAACAAAAGAGGGTGAAATGATGAAGATTAGGGATGTTTTCGATGAAGTCATCCAGGAAGGCCTCAGTGAAATGACCCAGAACTGAGGCAGCATAAACAGGAGAATCATGGGGACACAGGGAGGGAAGGTAGCCCTTCACACTGGAGTCTGATTGAAGGCGCCCACTTTGCATAGAGATGTTTATGTTGAAGTAACAGTGAGCTAGGCTTTAAGGCCTGAATGTGTATGACCTTAGGTAGTGACTAATTCCTTTCCCCAGACACTGCCTGAGAATTTCAAACAAAACTGTGAACTTTGTTTATAATAACATTACCACCTTCCTGTATCCCTGTGGGAACTCACTATGTAGACTAGGCTGGCCTTGAAATTAGAGATCCACCTGCTTCTGCCTCCTGAGTGTTGGGACTAAAGACCTGAGCCACCACACCCGAGCTGGATTTTTTTAAAAAATATTTTATTATTTTTACTTTATATGTATGCGTGTATTGCCTGCATGTAGGTAAGTGCATGTAGGTAAGTGCACCCATGTCGTGCAATGCCCACAGAGGACAGAAGAGGCCATCGGATCCCCTGGAACTGGAGTTACAGACACCTGTCAGTTGCCATGTGGATGCTGGGATTTGAACCCGGGTCTTCTGCAAGAACAACCAGTGTTCTTAACTGCTGAGCCATCTCTCCACTCCCCGAGCCGGGTTTTTAACATCAACTGTAACATTGTCAAGTGCACCCAAGAAAGCACCCAGTGATCTTACCTGATTTTTTAGCAACCTTTTGAAGACAGCAACTTCAAACCCCACTAGAATCCTATATGACTAATGTAAAAGACAGAGCTGTAAGTCTCTAGGGAAGTCCACACCCCCACTTTCAGGAGCACCTCAAGTTTCTGAGGGCCGCTCTCTTAATCCTGCGCTTAAGCTAATACTAGAACATCTTTATTAAACCCCAATTCTACTTCAGAAACTGGACAGGCTGTTGAGGGTGCCGGTAGGGAGCTGTGCCTTCTGTGCCTGTACCCCAAAACACTGCCAGAACAAGAATGGAATGAAATGGCCTCAGGCCAGGAGAGGAAAAATGAATAAATCAAACAAGTAGGGAGCTGGGGAGATGGCTCAGCAGTTAAAACACTTGCCATGCAAGTGTGGGGACAGCTCAGACCTCCAGGCCCCAAGAAGACGCTGGGTAGGTGTGTGCTGGCCTGTAATTGCAGCTTCAGAGGCAGAAAAGGGACTCTGCCAGAGCCAGCTGGCTGGCAATACTGGCCATATTCGGGGTTCTGGGTTTGACTCTGGACGAGTGATGGTGGATCACTCCTGATATCAACACCTTCCTGTACATGCATGTCACACTCGTTATGTACACACACAGAGAAAAAGAAGTCCTAAAGGTGATGAAGCCTATGCTGGCTGTACATAGCGTAGCCTGCTGGTGAGTAACCAACCAACCGCGGTCCTGCAGTGTGTGCATCCCAAGAGACGACATTCCTGTAGACCGTCATCAGACGATTCTAATGCATTTTCTGTTCAGTACAGCTTAAACAGAAAGTGGATTCACTGCTGATAAGGAGCAAGCAGGATTTAATTTGCATTAGCATCTGTGAAGATAAATCCCGTGGTCTTGCTTTCCAGACTCTGGGAGCTTTCTGCTTCTAACGGAGGAGGAGCAATTTCAAACTCACCTCCGCGGTGAAACTTTCACACCGTCTCTCAGCTTTCAGCTGGAGAGGAGGCCTAAGCACCCAGATTCCCCTTGGAGTGTGCTAAACTAACAGCGCGCGTCAGCTGGAGAGGAGGCCTAAGCACCCAGATTCCCCTTGGAGTGTGCTAAACAGCGCGCTTGGGAAGTTCCTCCTCGAAGGTCCACCGAGTGATGCTGACCACTTACAAGAGCCATGCCACACATACCCTGCCCAGTTGTCAACAGAAAACTATTACCATTCCAGTCCAGAGTCAAAGAAGGGAGGCGATGGACCCAAGGTTAGAGCCAGAAACAGGAGTCTCCTTAAAATCACCCTGATGTGTCTAGGGACTTTAGTGATTAGCGTGCCCCTTCAGCCTTCCAGACCCAGGGCAGGAACAGAGGAAGGACGGGTTAGGGTCTCAGGGCCCCGCGCGCCCTCCACTCACCAGCGAGGGCGTCGCCATCTGCTCCGGGGACGGAGCCGGGCCCCGCGTGGCCGCGACACCAGCTACTCCGGCGCCAGCTGCCCACCCAAGGCCAGCCCCGGGCAGCGGAGGACGCCCTGGAACCGGCGCTGCACCCGGGCTGCGGGGACCACTGGTGCCGAGGCCTCCAAAAGCGTGCGGCGGGGAGCTCTAGTAGGGCGCAAAGAAGGAGAGGGAGGTTCGCACAAAGGTGGACGTTGTCCGAGTCCCTTCGGTCCTCCGCTAGGACTCCACCGTTTAAGAAGCGCTCTGCCCAACATTCCCGCGTGAGGAACAGGCCAAACGCCACCCAATGAAATCCCAAGACAGAGCGCCTTAAGTTCCGCCCATGAGGCCCAGGAACCCGCCCCTCCGTGGGCGTCATTGCTCAGCGCCCGCCTCCGACGGCCAGGGCTCTGTGGCCTTATGGGTAGTGTAGTTTATGATCTGAATCCAAGTGGCACTTAGAGAGCACTTCCTGTTCTGGGTGAAGTACAGTCCTAAGGGTCCAAAGAGAAAGCATGGCTTCATTTCGAACAAAGTTCTGTGGCCACTTGAAGCTATGACTTGCAAGGGTCGGTTCAAAGTGACCCATGCCTTGATTTTCCTCCCTGAGATCTCTGTAGCCACACTTTATCTGAGCCTTCAGATTTGTAGGAAAAATCAAGATAATTCTTTAAGATAACTTTTTATTTTATGTATGAATGTTTTGCCAGCATGTATATGAATGCATCTGTGCAAGCAGTGCCCTCAGAGGTCAAAGAATGCATTGGATCCCCTGAAACGAGAGTTACTCACAGTTTTTAGCCAGCATATGGGTACTGGGAACCCACCCCCTGAGGTCTGCAAGAGCAGCCAGAGCGCCTATTTAATTGCTGAGCTACCGCTTTAGCCCCTAATAGAACTATCAAAAGTTCCCCAGTTCAGTAATTTTTAGAGTACATTAGCATCACCTGCGCATTTGTTACAAATTCAAGTTCTTAGGCTATTTCTCAGACTGCTTAATCAGTTACCTTGAATAAGTCATCCAGGCAATTTTGATGCTCTAACAAATTTGAGACTGGACTAAATTCCAGTAAATAAAACAGGAATTGTAGTTACAGATGGTTGTTAGCCATCATGTGGATGCTGGGAACTGAACCCAGAATTCCCAGCACCTCTGCAGCTTCCCTGATCCCATCAGTTGGTTTACTGCCTCTCCAAATCTGCAGCACTGGGATTGTTAGATTTAGGAGGGCAGAAAAAGGAAGGAGTTTAAAGTTCAGAAATAAGAGTCAGAGCCAGACCTGCAGTAGGCAAGGAATGTGCTAGCTGGAGTCAGGCAGCCCAGCAAAGGGCTGATAGCTTTTCCTGGAGGAATGATTATCTGCTTACTGAAGGGGGAGAAGTTTGGTCTTATATAGAAACTTTGCTGCACACAGCTGAAAGAGTTAACTCTGCATCAGGGTCTGGGGTCCTTGAGGGTCTCTTTTCTGAAGATTATTTGCTCAGGCAGGCAGGTGAGTTATTTATAGCACTAAAGGAGACAGGTGGGCTCCATAAATAATCTCTCTCAGTCCAGGGAGTGACCAGTTGATAAGGCTTGAGTAAGGCCAGGCTTGAACAAGGCCAGGCTGCCAGTTTAGGGCCAGTTAGACACTTTAAGGGATTTATGGCTTTCCCTAATGAAGCTTGTGGCTCTTCTGCAATTCACATATCCTATCAGGGATTAACAGGCAGAGCTGCCCTTGGGTTCTCCTGCTCCAGTGAAGATCCCGTTGCCATATTTGCTTCCTCCAGTCCATAAAACACTCAGAGGACACCACTGGCTTGAATGTTAACCACATCAGGCTTAGACCTGTTAGACCTGGGGGAGAGGGGTCTCCTGAACAGATTGAGAACCTGTGGGGACCACAGCCCAGAAATCTAAGTGTGACCAGTAGTGACTTCTGGTACAAAAAAATCAGGAAGCCTCTAATGTGAAAGCAGCCAAGCAGACAAGCTCAACTCTGGACCCACCCAGGCTCAGGACCACCCAGAATGGTAGGTCAGACAAAAGACTAATTTTTGTTGCCTCTGTCATTGTTGTTTTCAAATTTTTCCAAATTGCTTTTAGTTTTTTATAAAAGTTTTATTTATTTATTTATTTATTTATTTATTTATTTATTTATTTATTGTGTGTGTGTGTGCAGGTGCTCTCAGAGATCAGAAGAGGACACCAGATCCCTTGAAGCTTGAGTTCCAGGAGGTTGTGAGATGCCTGCCATGAGTGCTGGTGTTACGGAAATAATCAGAGACCAACCACCGAAATCAGGTGAGGAGAGGCAGGACTGACAACACAAATCAAGAAGTCAGACTCCCTGTTCAAGTTTTGGGGGGGTTTATACTCAAGTGAGGAATGCAAGCAGAAGGTACATAGCCTATACATGGTAGTTAAGTAGATAACAGAGGGCGGCAAAGGTAATAGAAATAAAAGGGTTACAGGAATGCAAAAGCCTTAGGTCTATACGGGAATGTGACAGCTTTGGAAAACAAAGACTTCTTATCCTGGATAACCAAAGGGAGCAGGGGAAGATTCCTGTTTACTTCCCTGTTCTGGGAGTTCTTAATTATCGTCACATTGCAAATCCTTTAGTGAAGGACCCGACTGACAGCAGGAAGGCCATTTTAGAAAAAGAACTGTAATCAGCCATTCGATAAGCCAAGATTCTAACCCAGGTCTTGTGAAACTAGCAGTGGAAGATAGGACATTTGCAGTCGGACCACCTGCCACCACCCTGAGGCCCCTACCGGGAAGTTAGTGATAACAGCCCCTACTGGGAAGTTAACGATAACAATCAGTTTCACCCATAGCCCCCTCTGAATTTGGCAATACTGTTTCCTCATACCTTGTACCCATTGAAATGCACTAATAATAATCTTGTAACCATGCATCTGCTTCTGTACCTTGCTTCTGCTCTATAAAAAGCCCCCCCAAGCTAAGCCCGGCACGCAAGTCCTGACCCGAGCGGGACTCTGCGTCCGCAGGCGCCTGTGTATGAATAAATTCCTCTTGCTTTTGCATCCCGAAACTTGGTTTTGTCCCTGTGTGTTGAGCGCGATTCTTCATTAGCATCTGGTAAGTTCTACTTCCATAATACTGGGTCTTGTGAAAGAACATCAAGTGCTCTTTTTTTTGGTCTTTTTTTTGAGATAGGGTCTCCCTGTAGCCCCAGCTGGCCTGGAACTCTTGTTGTAGACCAGGCTGGCCTTGAACTCACAGAGATCCGCCTGCCTCTGCCTCCTGAGTGCTGGGATTAAAGGTGTGTGCCACTGCCCCTGGCACATCAAGTTCTCTTAATCACCAAGCCATTTCTTAACTCCTGACCCATTTCTTCAGCCCCAAGGCTCCAGTTATAAAACACCATCTCACCACCTGAAAGACCCTAACAGAAGAGCCACACAAAAACTGCCCCAATCCTGTTCTTTTCAAATGGTTTTTCTCTTCTTTTTTTCTCTTAAAATAGTTTTTAAATATTGTTTGGATTTTAATATTTTTTGAAACAGGGCTATGCAGCCCTCACCTTCCTGGAACTTTCTATGTAGACCAGGCTGGTCTCAAACTTATGGAGATCTGCCTGGCTCTGCCTCTTGAGTGCTAGAATTAAAGGTGTACACCTCCACATACAGCCTTTGATTTTATTTTTCAAAAATCTTTTGTGTCTGACTGGGAGGTGTGGCTCAGCAGATAAAAACCTTTGCTGTGCAAGCATGAGGACCAAAGTTTGGATTTCCAGAACCCATGGAAATGCCAGGTTGGCATGGTAGTATGCCCATAATTCCACCACTCAGAAGGTGGAGACAGGGGATTCCCCAGACCCAGCTGGCAAACTAGACTAACCTGAACCAGAGAACTCTGGCCTCATGTAAGAGACCCTGCCATAATGAATAAGCTGGTGAGTGAGGAAGACTCCTGATGCCAACCTCAGACTTCCACATACACACACACACACACATGCATGTACACCTGCACACACATGTGCCCACATACATGAACACATATATGCAAATGCATGCACACCACACATACACATGCAAAAAAGCTTTTCTGTATTTATTCTTCTTCTTACTTTTATCTAATTTTAAAATTTTAAATAAAATACAGGGTTTCAATGTAGCCCCCAGCTGGCCTGGAACTCTCTCTGTAGACCAGACTGGCCATGGTCTCCTAGAGATCCACCTGCCTCCCAAGTGCTGGGATTAAAGACATGCACCACCACACCTGGCCTTTTTTCTCTAAAAATTGATTTTGTTTTTTAGGTGTATGTGTGTTTTGCCTGCTTGGATGTAAGTGCACCTATGTGTGCAATACCTGTGGAGGCCAGAAGAGGGCAATGGATACCATGGATCTGGAGTTGTGGATGGTAGTTAGCTTCCATGCAGGTGCTGGAAACTGAACCCAGAGCCTGAATGTTGGAAAAAATGTTCAACCTGTTGAACTACCAAGACCTGGTGTCTATCTCTCCAGCAGGTAAGGTTAGCTCAGACTAATATATACCAAAGGCATGATGATGTCACAGGGCTGCCAGAGGCAGAAGCAGGTGGATCTCTGAGTTCAAGGCTGTTAGGTTCCTAGAAAGCTCCTAAAATGGTGGTGCAGCTTGCAATATTCTGAAACTGGCAGGTTTGAACTTAGTCCCAGGCAAGTCCCTCTTCTTGTTGGGAGACTGACCAATCCTGAGCCAAACTGCCCACCCTACATCATGGAAAGTTATTCAACCACCTAACTGCCTATAAAAGATGTCTGACTCCCCTTGCTCACTGCTGTTTCTTGCTGCTGTTTCCATGCTCCCTGAGAGGCAGCCCAGCAGTCTGTTGCTCTCAAACTGCTGTTGTGTCCCCCCCACTCCCACACCATGGAGTTGCCTGGTCAGTGGTCTTCTTGGCTCCTCTTCCATACAAAGGCCAGCCTGATCTACTTAATTCTGTCATGTGTGTCTGTGATCATTGTCTTCATATGTTTCCATCAAAATAAATGGCCACTTTTTCATTCATTTATTGTGCACAAAATTATTGGCATTATTTTGCTTTATTTTGGCATGCCTAATTAAAATACACATGCAGATTTATAAATAAGGATATTTTGATAGTACATTCAAAGGCCTTATAAATTTGGGTACCCTAAATGTCTTTAAACTTAGGTTTGTTAAGTGTTTCAGAAAACTTGTCTTCATATGTTTCCATCAAAATAAATGGCCACTTTTTCATTCATTTATTGTGCACAAAATTATTGGCATTATTTTGCTTTATTTTGGCATGCCTAATTAAAATACACATGC